AGGAAGATGGCAAATTGCCTCGCCTCCTGGCGCCCGGAGCTAGGTGAGCCTTTCGCTTTTCTCTTCGGGCTGCCCGCTCGCGGCTAACTAACTGCCTCCCACAGGAGTGAGGCGGTAAGATGATAACTTCAATAATCAAAGAAGGAATGGACGGGAGGGCGAGCAAGACCTTCGCGTCCAAACTCCAGAACACCCTGGGGCACGGGAGGCCTGCCCTTGGGCGCGTGTGGGTGGCCCAGAGGAGCCGCCACTGCGAGGTCTCGCTCCTCCCCACGACTCCGTGGGTTCCGCACCACTAGCAAGACCCTAGATGATTTTCTTCCACTCTTCTGAATCTTGAAACAATTTCTGCAATTTCTGTGGAAACGCACAGTGCCGAGAACAGCTAACCTCATGCAGATGAGGCCAGTAGACCTGCCTTCTGGGTATCAGGACCAGCCAGCACCTGCCGGCCTGGGGTGCGCTCTCATCCCTGCAAGGGTGGGCCTGAACTAGGCCGGCCCTGGAGCAGTGGGAGAAGGGCAGCATTTTAAACGGGAGCCTCTGGGCCACACAGGCTCTGGGCCCATTGCTCTCCCCATGGAAACGCAGGAAGCGCCCTGTCTCCTCACCGGCTCACAGCAGGTCAGGTGCATTTCAGACTTAGAGCGAAGGGGAAGTGGTGGAATTCAAGATCATGTAGAATAGCTTCCTGACCTTAGGGCTAGGAGATAGTTTGTAATGGACGGAAGGAGCTTCAATAGGAAAAGAAATGAATACATTTGAGAATGTCACTACTAAAAATAGCTACTGCTTATGGAACCAGCCCTCTGGGAAGGTGCAAACGCTGCAGACCCCTACCCAGGGCCATGTCTAGGTTGTGGAAGGCACAAAGAGCGCGCCCAGGAGATGGCACAAGGTTTATGTCACTGGGCTCCCATGTAGCCGACTGCAGTCCGAGTCCTAGACCCGGTGTCTTAAAACTCACACTGGGTACGTGTATGTGTGTGCCCAAAATCCCAAGAGGAGAATGGAGAAGGGATTGTGGGGTGGAGTGGTTTCTTGCTTTTTGTCTCTCGGGCACAGGTACGTGCCCTATAACAAAAATCTCTCCCTAAAAACATATTCGCAAAAGAAAATATCCACAACGGCCACTAACATTTAGAAACCTTTGATTCCAGCTGTTACCAGGCAGACCGGAGCCCTGACTGCAAAGTGCGGCAGTCGAGGTGCCGGCACCGAGCAGCTCTGCCGTGGCGCTCTCGCGGGGTGCGAGCTGGACAAAGGCCGGGGAAGCACAGCCCTCTCCCTTGGCGTTGGTTTCCCACGGCTTTTGTGACCAGCTGCCGCAGACTCGGGCTGGATGGCTGGACAGTGTCCCCTGATCCTGCGGCTAGCCCAGTGCACAGGGCGGGAGTTCAGGCACCACGGGCTGTGAGCGCCCTCCTGTGGTGGCCTCTCTGGCCAAGGGGACAGGATGAGAAATGGGGAGAATGATTTAACAAGGGTAAGCAGTGTCTTTCAGTGACTTCAGTGTCCCCGAAAGCTCATAACGCAGCGTCCACGCTCCCGTTTGTGCCGCCTCTGTGCTGTGGACGCCGCACCACCAGAGCGGCAGGTCTGGGCCGTGGAGCTCTCGTGCAGCCCTCAGGGCGTGTGCCGGCGCGGTAGTCTCCCTTCGCCCTCGGAATGAGTCACTCTCCCCCTTATTTTTTAGAGAGATTTTTTTTTCCTTTAGGGTGCATGTGCTTGCTGGAGACACGGAGAGAGACAGGGAGACAGAAAGCAAGAAATCATCCCTCAGGGGGATGCATACTGCAATCCCTTCTCCATTCTCTTAGGATTTTGGGCACGCATGTGCACATACCTGGTGTGGGTTATTTTATTTTATTTTTTTGAGAAGTTTTTGCTATAGGGTGCATGTGCTCACCAGAGAGAGAGAGAAAGTGAGGAATCACCCCCCAGGGGGGATGGCCACACCGCAATCCCTTCTCCTCCATTCTCCTCTCAGGATCTTGGGCACACATGCACACGTACTCAGCATGAGTTTAAGCCACTGGGTTTCAGCCACTGGGTCTAGGACTCGAACCACGGTTGACTACATGGGAGTCCAGCGACATAGCCATTATGCCAACTGCTGGTTCCCCTGGCATGAGTTTTAAGCCACCAGGTCCGAGACTCGAACAGTCAACTACGTGGGAGTCCAGCGACCTAGCCATTACACCATCTGCTCTTTCCTCCCTCCCCCCCCCATAAGAAGAATATTGCCAGAGGGCACATGCACTTGGTGGGGAGAGGGCACTCCCCATGAGGATGGCCACATTTCTCTCCCGTTTGTCCCTTCTCTCAGGGTTCTGGGCACACATGCACATGTGCCTGGCGCATTCCTCAAGCTGCCAATTCTATACTCAGGCCACATAGTCGGCCGTGGAGGATCCAGCTGCCTTAACCACCATGCCACGGGGGGGTCCAACTCTCTTTTTAACAAATGTTTTAACTTTGTGTGCACATGATAGCGTGCACGTGCGTGAGAGAACAGCCCTCCAGAGTCTGCTCACACCTCGACCCCCCTTGGTCTTCCAGCTGAGCGTCTTGGGCACACGAGCACGTGGCTAGTGTTTTAGGCTGGCTGGGCTGGGACTGGGGTGATGGCTGCCACGTTGGGTACAGCTTCTGCTGGGTGGTGAGTGCGTGCCCACTGCACCACGGGCGGCCCAGGTCCTGACTTGGGGGAGCCCAGGACACTCCCCAGACACTCAGAGCTCACTGCTGGTGCTGTCTGCGGAGTAGCTGACCTGGGCAGACTGCACCCCTGCGGGATGATTTCTTGCTTTCTGTCTCCCTGTCTCTCTCCGTGTCTCCAGCAAGCACATGTGCCCTAGAGCAAAAATCTAAAAAAAGGGGGAGAGTGACTCATTCCGAGGGCGAAGGGAGACTACCGCGCCGGCACACGCCCTGAGGGCTGCACGAGAGCTCCACGGCCCAGACCTGCCGCTCTGGTGGTGCGGCGTCCACAGCACAGAGGCGGCATAAACGTGAGCGTGGACGCTGCATTATGAGCTTTCGGGGACACTGAAGTCACTGGTTAAATCTTTCCCGTGCAGGCCTCTGGCACCACACTCGGCTGTGGCTGTGGCTTTCAGCCTGGCTCCTCGCTGAGCTGAGTTGGAGCCCGATGGGCTCTACTCTGTGCTGGTGGCCCAGGCGTGGGCTGTGGGCATGGATGTGCCTTTGCACCAGGTTCTCCAAGCACACCATCAGACGTGCCAGCGTCCAGCCTCACTCAGGCCTCCTCTGTGGGCCTGCTGCAGAGGCAGCTGCAGGACTGCACTGGCCAGGACACCCGGCCACACTGTGCCTCCTCCCAGGGCCCCTGCTGAGCCGCCGGCTCTCCAGTGCCGGAAATGGTGATGTTGGTGCCCTGACCAAGCGCCTGCCAGGTGGGCACGCGGCAGAGCTCACGGTCTCAGTCCGGAGGCCACAAGCCCAGGACCCCGTATGTCAGGGCCGGGACCCCCTGCGGCTGTGAGGGACCCTGTCCCTGAGGGCTGGTGGTGGCCTGCCAACCTTGGCGTCCTGGGTCTGTAGGAGCACTGGTTGGTCTCTGCCTCCGTGCTCTCACGGCGTCCTCCACGCGCCTCTGTACCCACACTTCCTAGGAAGGGACAAGGCCAGGGCCCCATGTGACTCGTCTGCGAAGACCCTTTTCTGCCGTCAGACCACACTGAGTGCTGGCGTGACCCTCCACGGATCTTTGTGCGGACACAGCCCGGCAAACAGTAGCCTCGTGGCATCATGTGGTTTCAGCCATTTGTGCTGGGTTCGAACCGGACACCAGCTGTCCCGCTGTGGCCCAGAGTGGAAGCAGACACTCAGTATTTGTCGAATGGATAAAAGAAATGGACACACTGAAGCTCAAGAAGTGGGGCCGGCAGGTGGTGTGGTGGTTAAGGCATTGGACTCCCACATGGCCCACTGTGGTTCGAGTCTCGGACCTGGTGGCTTGCTTTCCCACCTTACCTCTCTCTCTCTCGGTCTCTCTCTGGTGAGCACATGTGCCCTATAACGAATTAAAAAAATAAGTAAAATTAAATAAAAATAATTCTTAAAAAAAAAAAAAAAAGACCCAACAAGTTATAGCCAGCACCAACACTGCAGCACAGCAGCTAAGCACAATGCATAGGGAGCTGGGTCCCAGGTACCCATCGTGGCTCGAGTCCTGGCTCCCATGGCTTGAGAAACACGCTGGGTGTGCTCACGTGTGCACCCCGAATCCCAGTGGGATGAGTGGAGGAGGGGCGTGGGGTGCTCTGTCAGGCGAGCACACGCACTCTCCGGCCACGAAGCGACGGGAAGTTACAGCCAGGCCGAGTGCGGAGCCACATGTACTCGCCCTCCGCTGCCCTGCGTGGGTCAGCCCCGTGGTGCAGGGTCTCAGGCCTGTGGCCGTCAAAGCCCCCTTGGAGCCATACTTGGGGTCAGGGTCTGTGCCATCAGGCCATAGGCAGCCGTGGGCCGGGCTCGCGCTGTGTGGTGCTGCCGCTGGTAGGTGGGGAGGGCCGCAGTACCCCGCAGACGCCGGGTGCACGTGAGCCTTGAGGGTCCTGAGGGTGCAGACCAGCCTGGCCACCATTAGGATCCGGCCTCCCTCCACCTGACCTCGACTTTGCCCCACTCAGGACGCCCACGTGGCCCTCCTCCGGTCTCAGCCTGTCTGCCCCGCCACTGGCCTGACCCTCCGCGACCTTCCCGCAGTCGAGGCCATCGGCCACCCATCGGCCGCCTGCTCGCTCCTTCCAGGAGGGAGGGACTCTGGGCTGTCTGGTGCACCGTAGCATCTCAGTGCTGCTCAGCAAAGCCGGACAGCGGGCAGGGGTGTCCTGCAGTGGGCCTGGCTGTGCGTGAGCAGCATCTGGCACGCGGCTTGGTCTGATGCCTCGTCCCCTGTGTAGCCAGCAGGAGGCGACACTTGCATCGCTCTGAGTAAAGCCTTGTGAGGTCACAGGGCTATGTGAGGTCACAGTGGGCAGGGCCGACGCGCCACTGGCCTGAGCGGCAGAAGGAGCAACGGGCCACCTTCTTGCTCTGCTGAGAAATCGTTCTCCCTGCAGAGCGTGACAAGGGCAGGTGGTGGGCCTCTCTGGGACGTGACGGACAGGTGTCACCAGGCGGCCCCTCCCCAGACGGGAAGAGCCTTGCGGCCTGACCTGTTCTGGGCCCCAAACGCAGGTGTCCCGGTGGTGGCCACGGCCCGGCCGGTGCTGAGGGTCTGTCTTGGGTCCTGAGCCCAGCACGTCGCGGCTGCCGTGATGAGGTATACGCCAGAAATCAAGAAGTCCCCGCCGCACCTCCTGAAGAAGTTCGCAGGTGACGAGACGGTCCGCTGGGGCAGTTTTCGCCAGGGCCCTTAGGGGATCCCCACTGCACGCCAGGGAGGCCTGGTGGTGGGCCTGAAAGAACTCAGAAACAGGAAGGAGTGGCTCGCTCTCCGCGGGCAGGCGGGAAGGGCCCGATGCAGCGCTGCCTGGCCGGCGGCAGGGTGTTCCCTGGGACAGGAAAGGGGACCCTCGGGAGCCTTGGTCCTTGGCTCCTCCCGGTGTGTCTCTCTGGCTGCCGTCACCTGCCACGGAGCTGTCCTTGGTTTTGCCGTCAAGGTCTTTGTGTCCGGGGCCAAGAACTTGGGGAAGCCAAAGCCGTCCACGACCCAGCCGCCGGGGAAAGAGGGAGGAGGGGGCAGGCCGTTCGATGCTGGGGTTTCCGACGGGCCTTCCTGGCCTGGCCTCAGCTCCCCTTTACACCCTTAGGCGCTGGGGAACATTTAGCCTTTCAGACCTGGTGATGTTCCCAGTCACAGGTTTAGCTGGGGACAGGGCGCTGTGTTCCCAGGTCTCCAGGGAGATGCTGTGGCGTCCCCACTTTCTTCAACGCCAGAACTAATGCTCCAGGGCCAAGGTCGTAGGGCTTAGGCGAGCAGGGCATTGGGCACTTCTCTGTGGGGCAGATTGCACACTTGGGCCACTTCATGAATTCATGGCAAGAGTGAGTTTTGAAGAAGGAAAAGTCTCCGCAGAGAAGCCCTGTGCCCTCCCCACCGTGACCGCCAGGAGAGACCTCGCTCCAGGGCTGGAAGGCCGCCACTTAGTCGGGGACCGTCCTGAAGGCTCAGTGACATGAGCGCCCTGTGTGAGCGCACCGATAGAGAAGCAGGCAGGGACATTCTAGAAGCCTGTGCCTCCCGGGGACCACGTGGGACTGCGGGTCTGCCCCAGGCTAGCGGCGTCACTCGGAAGCTCCCGGCCGAGCTGGCACCTGCCGTCCCTGGTCCCGGATGTCGTTGTAGCTGGTGTGTGTGTGTGTGACGAGGAAACGGGCCTTGATTTTGTTCGTTGGCCCCAGAGGCAGACCAGGCTGTTCTCAGCGGGTCGGGGTCCCAGGGACGGGTGGTGGGCGGCCCCTCACCCAGGCCAGCCCTGTGGCTCCGGAGTGGAGCGAGGCCCCTGCACCTGCTCAGCAGATGTCCCTTCCCGCCGGCTCAGGTGTTGGAGGGCGCCCCCTGGTGGCAGGTGGAGAGGAGGCTGGGGCTTAGCCAGGCGGGGCCCAGTCTTCCCCACAGTCCTGGGAGTTCAGACCCTTGCCATGGCCGCCCTGACCAGGCCCTGGGGGCGCCCTATGAGCCCTTGGGAGCTAGGTCTGGGACCACCGTCTGGTCTCCTGGTGGGGCAGCGCGAGCTTCCACACGCTCCTTTACGCTTCCCCGATGCGGGCGGAGGCCTCGAGCATGGGCCCCTCGCACGTGCTCTGTGCTCAGAATCACTGTCCTTTTCCAGCCCCGCCTCTCTGGGACCTGGGCTTGGTGTCCATGGTGACGCTGTCCTAGAGGCCCCAGACTAGGACTACAGGGGCCGAGGCTGCAGCTGGGCTCGGCAGGGCCCTGGGCCCGGCCTCTCAGCCCTTTCTCTCTCTCCCTAATGGGGGGCCAGGGCTGCGTTCTGGGGGTTCCGCGTGCTTAGTCGGGAGGGCAGAGGCTGCCAGAGCAGTGAGGCTCAGACGGGGTGGGGGGCTGGCTTGAGGTCCTTGTGTCCCCCGAGGCCGCAGAGATTTCTCTGTGGACACCCTCCCTCAGAGAGGAGCAGGGGTGTGGGAGCAGGAGCAGGGCCTCCTGATGGCTTGGGGCTGGAGGTGCGCAGAAGGGCGCCGGCTAGTGGTGTCGCCTTTCTCCAGCCGGCCCCTGGGAGAAGAGCGGCCAGGTGCGGCCGGCGGGCAGCTCAGCTGTGAGGGCGGAGGCCGCCGCAGGGGCCAGAGTGGAAACACGGCGGGGGGGGGGGGGGGGGGGCCG